CACTCACACAGAATTACTAGTGCCCTTAGTGATTAAACAATGCACAGAAATTAACCAGAGGATTCATTTTGCTTTAATTTTCATACTTTGTTACACTGCTTAAAATGTCAGCATGCCAAAGCTCATTTACTGAGACTGCTGTTATATATCTTAGAGATACCATCCACTCTGGAAATGCATGTTATGAATACAGTTTATTCATTATTTCTACAAAAACACACACAAACAAATGATAAAAGGACTAGAAGAGGACCAAGATCCTCTATAGGTGGGAAGCTCAAGAATAATTGAAAACAGAAAAAGAAGAACCAAATCCCATTTGATTACATTTAGCTTTTGTCTTTCTCTTTTAGAAAATCATTCCTGGCACATCAGTGGAGAACAGCAGTATTTTATAGAAGATCATTTCATACAGAACGAGATAAGAATTCCCTAAAAAGCTTACCATTCACTCCAAGCACTAAGCTATTGAGTTGGGGGGGAGGGGGGAGGTAAATAATGACCTTTTTGAAACTCTTAAACTTCCATCTCTTAATTTGTTCTTCATCATAAACTGAAGCTCAATTTGTATTTTTAAATCCTGTTATTAATAATAATGTTACACAGTGAAAAAAATTGTTTATCCTCAATTCAATGCCAATGGATAAAGGAAAGACGAGTTTAAAAATATAGATAATACTACACAGAATTGTGGTGGTGGTGACTGAGTTGGAACTGACTCATCAACTCATCAACTAACTCATCTGTGCAGTTGTTGTTGTTGTTGTTGTTGTGTACCATATAGTCCGACCCAACCCATGGCTGACCCTCTGGCAGATTTTCAGAGGCAGCTAATTGCACAGAAGGAGATTGGCCCATCCCTCTCCCATGGAGCAGCTGGTAGATTTGAACCACATCCCTTTGAGATCACTGTGCAGCTTCTTGCCACTAGGCACCAGAGCTCCCTGTGTGATAACTGCTTCAGAAAACTGGCTGGAGGTTCAGTTATGGATCGATTCTGACGTGATGACACATAACAACAATAAATTACATGGGAGGAGATTGTCAGACTTTGTCCCATGAAGCCACTGGTGGATGATTGGGCCCTGCCTTTCAGTTAGCAGTGCAGCTTTTACTCATTGTTGTGGTTGTTGTGAACCATCAAGTTGGAATCAAATTATAGCTGATCCTCTGACAGTTTTCAGAGGCTGTAAAGGGTACCGGAGGGGATTGCATATCTTTCTTCAATGGAGCAGCTAGTATATTTGCAGCCGTCCTTTGAGTTGACAACACAACTTCTTACCACTAAGCCACCAGAGCTTCCTAAGGCCACCAGAAAGGCAGTCAGAAAATCAGAAGACATATTACATTGGGCAAGTCTGCTGTCAAGGACATCTCAAGAATGCTGAGGAGCAATAATCTGTTTGAAAACTAAAGTGTGCTGATTCAAGTCATGGTCTTCTCAATCACCAGCTATGCATCAGAGAGCTGGATGATGAATAAGGATTACAGAAGAGGAATTAATGTCTCTGAGTTGCAGTGTTGGATAAGAGTGCTGAATATCATATGTACTGGCACAAAAACAAATAGATATGTCTTAGGAAAAGCACAGCTAGAGTGTTTCATGGAAGCAAAGAGGGTGAAACGTCATCTTTCATAATTTGGACATGTAACAATGTGAGGCTATTTGGAAAAACACATCATGCTTGGAAAGATGGAATCAGTGAAGGATAGAAAGACCCCCAATGAGAAAGATTGACATAGAGACTTCAGTTTTAGAAAGAATGAGGATGGCACAAGATATGGCAGGATTCAGGGTGGCTGTTCATAGGATGAGTTGCACTCAACTTAACAGGACGTAACAACAACAACATACCCAGAGTATTTGAGATGAAGCTTCATCATCCTTGCTTCTAAGGAGCACCTGACTATACTTACTCCACCTCACACATCTTCATTCTTTAGGGTAGTCCATGGGAAATTCAATAATCTTTGCCAACATTTCAACTCAAAGGCATCAATTCTTCTTTGGTCTTCCTTATTCACCATCCATCTTTAAGGTACATATGAATTAATTGAAAGTGCCATGGCTTAAATCAGTCGTTAAATTATTAGCCTTGCCCTTTCACACTGGAAAGAGACCCTCAACAGAACAATTTTCCAGTGGAACATATCTTTTGATTTCTTGACTGTTATTACTTTGGGTGTTGAATATGGATCTGAGTAAAATTAAATTCTTGATGATTTCATTTTCTTCTTTTCTCGTTATGTTTCCTATTTTGTTGCCTATGTTGCCAAAAATCTAGTGGTAAAGAGTTTTGTAAGGTTGATGTTGAGATGTAATATATATTGAAGGTTATAGGATTGTTTTTTATCTTCTTGAACAAGTGCTTTAAGTTATCACTTTCTGCAAGCAAAATTATGTCATCTGTATAATTAAGGCTGTTGATAAGTTTTCCTCCAATTCTGATGTCACATTCTTTTTCATATGATTAAGCTTATCAAATTTTTGAATAGATATAGTGAAAGGATGCAATTGTGATGCACACTTGCCTAATTTTAAATCACACAGTATACCCTTGTTCTGCTTTATCTTATTAAGCTATTCTTTGAAATCCTCTATTCAACTCTCTTACTTCATCATTTTTTTTAAAAGGTGACACAGTGGAGACCACAATCCTTACCTTGGGCATCCAAATATTTACTTCAGAAATCATTAATTGTTCCAATAATTTGTAACTAATAAATAAAAAAAGATCATATTAACAAAGCCAGAAATTCAGACAAACATGGTAGACTATATTTTGGAATCAACTAGTGGTCAAACATTGACTAAGTAACAAATGTTCAACATTGTCCTAAATATGTGGGTGCGAAAAAAGAAAAATAAGACCTAGATCTTAATTCCAAGGAATTTACAAACAAGCAGGAACTTCAATTTGTATTGTGATGGTTTTATATGCCAAGCATCAAAAGAGTAACTGTTAAAGGACTGGTTTCAATTTATGTCTCACTGAATGAAATTCTTGTTTAGTACACAAATATTTTGCTATTTAGTGAAGTCCACTCAAATTACTTTAAGAAAACTTAAGCCTTGGTTTATGAAATGCTTAACGGAGTTACAGCCTACACAGGGAAAGGAAGAGATTGGCATGAGGGTCAGCTACATGCATTTTCTTGAGAAAAAAAAATATATTTCAAATAAATTTTATTCACTCATGAGACAGAAATATAGGTGATAATTAAAAAGCTTTTCGCCATCAAGTCAGTTCTGACTTCTGGAGGCCTCCATATCAAAATGAAAAGAAACTGCACATATTTCTCTTGAGATGTTGTTAGTAGGTTTGAATCATCAGACTCAGGCAATCTTTATGCTACCAGAGTATAAAGGTGATAGATATCTAGACATAGCTATAGGTATCCCCATTATAATACTTCACTTTGTCCTCCCTAGCTGCCCTTTGAAATCTTCTGTTCACCTCTTTTACCTTGGCATGATTCCCTTTTGTTTTGGCTTCTCAGTGTTCCCGTGCACTAAATGGTGCCCACCATAGTCAATAAAGCATTAGAGTTTGATTGTATGTTATTTGAAATAGGAATGCAACATCTCTCTTAGTCATTGGGTCTGATCTCTACAAGTAGGTAGTTGAGTCTTGAGTAAGAGAAGAGGAGAACATCCTCCAGGAAGCTCTGCTACCCTACTCTGTGGAGAATTGTGCTGCTCATCCCAAGGCAGCACATCTTCGGCAGTTCAAATACACCAGTGATTCCACAGGAGAAAGATGGGTAATTTCTCCCAATGTGATTTGCAAACTCAGGAATCCAATGAAGGGCCAGCTATGGGTCAGTGTCCATTCAATGGCAGCAAGCTTTAAATAATCTGTGTCTTCAATAGAGAGTTTTAAGTAGGATAAGCCAGCGGCCATAGCAACAGGTCTATTAATTATGTGATGTTTCCTATAACAATCATGGATCGGTATAGCTTCATATCGTGTATAATTCATTTCTATTACAACAGAATAGACTAATAGCTAATCCTTGGAAACTGTAAATCACATCAAAAAAGACTGCCCATCTCTTTCAAGTGGAGTTGCTGGTGAGTTTGAGCTGTCAAGAGGCATGTACCACCTTTGGGTTAACAGTGCAACTCCTGTGAGTTCTACTACCAAAGCACCATCCTGTGGTGGCAGGATTTTTGAAAACGGCTTTTATATGCATTGCCTTAGCCTCCTCTGGGGACATGGGCTCCAGCTGCCTCAACTGCAGACACATGGTTCACCCCACTTGATCAATGTTCACTCCTTGATCTACATCATCAACAGCTGTGGGATCAAAATAAGAGGGACAGCTGCCCAGACTATGAAGAGCCTACAGTGAGGTGCAACCTGACAGAGCCCTGGAGACAGAAACCAAGTAAAAATTCTGCTTGCTAGCAATTGAAGAAAGAGCTGACTTGTGATTTTGATCAAACAAAGTTTGTTGGATGACTGAGAAAATCAGAGACTTCTTACATTTGTGTTGCTGGACTGAACTTGGACTTCCTCTTACTGACAGACAAGCTGTCTGAATTAAATGAGGAATTATGTCTTCTTGTTAATCTGGCTTGGTACTAAACCTGGAGTTTCACTGTGTGATATCCTTTGCCCCCCACCATCAATCTATTTCCTTAATAAACCTGACAACTGTGAGTAAAGCCAAGTCTGTGAATCAATTTACAAAGAAAATCAAACCAGTATTTAGTAGAAGTAGGTGCAGGAGTGAGAGAGAAGGGACATGTCTGACCTTGTAATTACAGTTCCTTTTTGTGGAGTTGCTAGAAGTCAGACTTGTCCTTTCCCACATTATTCTTGCTCCTTTTCTACATCTTCATGTTGTATTTGATATCTCTATATCTCTTAAGATTCTATTTTGGAAAATGAAGCAAGTATGACTTCTTTCAGCTCTAGACACCCTTAAGAAGTAAAACTAAGACTTTGCACCGCTTCTTTGCTCAGGATGGTTTGCTTCCCTCAGCCTTGAACATGGTCAAGGAGGAACACAAGGTGGTGGTGCTGGGGGCTCCGCACAGCTCTGCACCCATCATGTCCACAGTGATCAACATCCAGAATGACATTGTTGTGCCTGACCACATTGTCTGGTCCCTCTTCAACACCCTTTTCATGAACTGCTGCTGCCTGGGCTTCGTGGCGTTCACCTACGCTGTGAAGTCCAGGGACAGGAAGATGGTGGGCGACGTGATAGGAGCCCAGAGCTATGCCTCCACCGCCAAGTGCCTGAACATCTCCACTCTGGTCCTCAGCCTCCTGACGATTGTCCTGTTCATCGTATTTATTGCCACAGGCACATTGTTGAGTATAAAAGCCTTTTTACAGGCAATGAAGAACCATCAAGGCTACTAGTTCCTGCCCTTGCTGTGGCCTGAGTCCTCTGGCCCTCCACCAGTGTTACTGCACCCTGAGCTGTCACCCCCATGCTCCCCTTACACTTTACACACCCTTCTCTGTCTATGAACAAATTCAATAAAGTGTCATGACACCTGGAAAAAAAAGAAGTAAAACTAAATGCAAATCAAACAGAAGAGGGAATTCATGAACCTGGCTTTAAGACTAAACTATAACAATAACCACTAATACTCATTAACAACTTGCAGCCAAGAAACAAAAATACATGTTGCATTGGGGAAATTTGCTGTGAAGGACCTCTCCAAAGTGCTAAAGAACAAGAGTGTCCATTTAAAGACTAAGTATGCCTAATCTAAGTCTTATTTTCAGTTGTTTCCTATGCATCTGAAAGTTGGAGAATGCATAAGGATGAATCCATGCATTTGAATTGCAGTGTTGGAGAAGAGTACAGGATATCCCACACACTAGCAAAAGAATAAAGATGTCTGTTTGGCAGAAGAACCATCAAGGGTGCTCCTTAGAAGCACACAGACATGGTGACAGTAAAAATGTGCTCGAGTATATCAGAGATTGTGAGGATGATGCAAGACAGGACAAGGTTCAGGTCTGTTGTTCATAAGGTTGCTATGAGTCTATTCTTTACTCAAAGGCACCTAACAACAAATGTGTCAAACACTACACTATATACTTTGGTGGTTTGTTTTTTGTTTGTTTTATTTTACGTAGCAAAAAGCTCTTCATGAGTTGTAAACTACCATTTTCTCTCTTTGAAGTGGCGCAAACAAGGGCCAAAGACTTTAAGTAAATTTCTAAGGTGTTTCCCATCATCTGACAGACCTGAATTTCAATTCCATATACTCAACAGCTACATTATATTGTCTTGCTCCTTAGTATGTGATCTGGGCAAAAGTCTGAAAGGGACACATTTTTGTCCTCTCAATCAGGATCAAACACAATGGTTGAATGTGACAGGAAGGAGGTAGGTAAGGTCATGACAGAGTGAATAGGATCTAAGGAGACCATGAATAGCAAGATGAGAAATACTGGCCTAGGGGAAAATGATACTAAGAATGGTTAAATATATCTATATATCTATACATCTATACTTCAAGAACACTTCAGAAACAGTTGAATCCAGGGTCCTAGGGAAATGTAAAAGGCCACAAAAGAGCTAGAGTTTCCAAATGGCCTTGGAAAAAACACCAGGGAATTTCAATGGTGTAACAGGCCTGCACCCTTCTAATTAAAGGCACCTGGATCAAAAGTCAAAGAGTCCAAGGAAAGGTACCAAATGAGAGAGTATAGCACGCCTCTGTGCAAAGGGTTAATGTCAGAGTGCAAGAAAGCATCTATCCTTAGATGTATCCACAGTATGTGATTTTTACCAAAAGAAATCTACACTAAAGATGAAACATAACTGAAAACACTGAACTAATCTGATTCTAGAAGAAAAAAAACTTCTCATGAGGATAATTTTCCCAAATTACATCCATTTTGATGCTTAAGCAGGACACCTGGCAGCAGTTCTAAATAATTCCCAAGACAAAGCATAGCTCCTTATTCCTTCTGATGCTTTCTGCAAAAGCATGTTCCTTTAATGCAGTCACCACCACATCTTGAAAACTGAAGGCATCCATTCATCTACACCAACGCACCCTGAAGATCCTAAGAATGTTGACATTTCTACACATATTACTGCTCTACCCCAATGGTCCAGCCAAGAAGTCACGTGCAAATTAGTTTGGCAGTCCACTCTCTTTCAGCAAACTGCATCAGTTCCTTGGCAGCCTGCCTTTCACAGGGGACAAATGCAGTAAATTATTCGTCTGGTCTTAGAAAAGACAATAATAACAGGTTAACAGTAAGAATTACTTTAGGGTGCCTCATTAGTTTCCATGTAAACTATCTGGTTTATACCTGCAAGGGTTACAAAGTTTTGAACAATTGGCTCCAAATCTACTCCATTGCACCTTGATTTTGGGACTAGGATCCTACAAACCATCTTTCACCTCTTGTAGGTGAGTCTCTTAGATGAATAGTGGGAAACCGGAGTCTGAAGGAAAGCCTGGCACGTCTTTGTTTGCTTACTGTTCCGTTGCATCATCCAGCAATGTACTCACCTTAAAACAAAAATTCATTTCATACACGGTTTGTTCCTCTTTTCTTCCATATTCTACCAAGCCTTGCTACATCATCTGAGATACCAGGGGCACCTCTAAGGGTCCTTTCTCTCTAATCATCTGTGTTCTAATAATCTCAGACTCTCTCTTTTTATTCTCTAAGCAGTAGGAGTGCAAAATAGTGTTTGGACAATATTATTAAAGAAAAATCAAATTTGTAAAAAAAAAAAAGGCAGCCATAGGATTTGTATTACAGTCATGAGATAAAGAGTAGTATAGAGAAAAAGGTGAGTATAAACACATTTTCTCCTTTTTATAATAGTTTCACAAATACAAAAGTTCCATTTTTTGTTTTGTTTTTTAACTCTTTAAGTCACAATAGTTTCAAAACTCAAAAATCCTTTTAAAACTGTGTATATCATTAAACTTATCTATCTAATCAATCCTTTCAATAATGTCTCAGTTTTTCCTGCAAAACAACCTGTAGTTACATTGACTTTCAGTTGGATAATTTGTTTCTAAACACTATGCAATGCCAGTCTCCAGAAATTTAAATCACCCCAATGCTATTTTCTGGTCACCATCCATAGATTTTCAATTTGAAAATTTTCAGCTCGGACAGTGCTATTATAAAACAAATAAAAGAAATTGGAGCATAGTTATCTCCTTCATATAAGGCAGATAAAAGAATCCTAACATTTATCTTAATGTATACAGCAATTTAAAATCCTTTAAAATTGTTTCTATTTCTTTAATTCATCAAGTCCATAGTGGGAAAAATTTCCAAAGAGTAAGGAAAATTGTAAAAATAGCAATTGGCTTTATAGCATCTTACAAGTTATGATACCTGTCTGTTTCAAAACTTTAAAAGAACCTGGAAATCATCTTCCAGAGTTAGATCTGAAAACTAACAATCCAGGTTCTGCCTTTCACAGTTTTCAAAGAATATTTTTTTTAACCTCGACTTTGAAGCATAATAATGTTCAGAAACATTTTCATTTTCCTAACCCACTAGATCTGTCATCTAAAGTAAATAGCCTCGTTTTCTTTTTTATTTTTATTTGTTTAATTCTGAATGCTTCAAATATGATGCCTGATAGGAATGCTATAACTAACACTGAGAAAAATATGTTTCCAAATTACTCGAATACCATAAGCTAGGGTTAAAAGGTAACAAGAAGTTCTAAAGAGATTTTCAGAGGATCTGGAATATTGTTATCACTAGACGTCAGTTAGTTACATGGTACTCTGGTTTCAAGGAGGCAGGAAAGGTTTCAAGTTCCCGTCTCATAGAGGAAGACACCTAAGGAGATGGATTGATATGGGGATTTCAGCAATGGGTTTGAGTGTTTCGGAGATGATGAGGCACAGGATATGGCAGAGTTCAGGTGGGCAGTTCATAAGGTCGCTATGAGTCATACTCAACTTGAGGGAACCTAACAACAACCACCTGTGGGACACCACAAACAAGCCATAGAGAAACAGACAAATCCATCCTGGGCTCTAAACAGTAAACAATGAGAACGGGATAGTAGAAGTTCTTGGCATTCAAGAACCATTTTTATGCTTCAAATAGTTAAAGAACTACATTAAAATATTCTCTGCACACAGTAAAGGATAATTAACTTCCTTATATAGCTATTAAGAACTACAAAATTTATGGAGTATCTTATTTATTCAATTTTACAGATAAAGAAATATGTTTTAGGGATAAGATTTATAGAGATTGAGTAACTGCTAAAGTTATTCAATGCTGTTGTTGATTGCCTTTGAGTCAAGCATGAATCATAGTGACCCTATGCACAAAAAGGCCTGAAGCCCCTCTACAATTATTGACATTTATCAAAGTTCATAGAGTTTACAGAAGCATGTTATTTAGGAAGTGGATGCCATTCCTGCTTCCAAACCTGTCATAGTATGTCATTGTTGTTATGTGTCATTGAGTCACCTGCAATGTATAGTGACCTTATGTACAGCAGCTCTGAACCCTTCCCTGTCCTGAGCCAGTCTCAATAATTCTGACACACCAATCTCCATCGCCCCAGTTACTGTATCAGTCCATCTCATCCAGGGTCTCCCTCTCCTGCGCTGTCATTACACCCTTCTGAGCATGATGTCCTTCTCCAAGGACCAAGCTCTCCTGGCCACTTGCTTGAAGAAAGTGAGGCAGAGCTTCAAAATCCTAGCCTCCAAAGAGAGACTTGGTTTCACTCTCTCTAAGACAGACCCATTTGTTTTCTTGGCAGTCCATGGTATGTTCAAGAGTTCTCCAGCACCACAACTCAAATGCATCTATTCTTCTTTTGTCATCCTTAGTCATTGTTCAACTCCCTGAAACATAACAAGTAATTAAGAAAACCATGGCCTGGATTAGGCACACCTTTGTATGAAGACTGACATCGTTGCTCTTCACCACTCTGAAGAGGTCCATGACAACAGATTTTCCCAGTGTAATTCATCTTGTAATTTCCTGACTGCTGGTGTTAAGAGTGTTGATTGTGGATCTGAGGAAGCTGTAATTGCTAATAACCTCAATCTCTAATCCATCTAATATGGTGCTGCCAATTGGCCCTTCTTGATGTTGATCTTCAATCCATATTGAAGACTACCATCCTTGACCTTTTGCAGCAAGTGCTTCAGGTCTTCTTCAGTTTCAGCAAGCAAGGTTATGTTATCTACATATCACAGGTTGTTAATGAGTCTCCTTCCAATCTTTATGTTTCACTCCTCCTCATCAAGACTAGCTTCCTGAAGGATCTCTTTTGTATACAGATTGTAAAGGTACAGAGGATGGGATGCATCCCTGACACACTCCTTTCCTGATTTTGAACCATGCCATGTTTTCTTGCTCTGTTCTGAGGACTGCTTCTTGGTCAA